TAATAATCTGAACAATAAAGATTTAATTAAAAAAAAAAAGACCTCACTGTGAGTAGTCAAGCTGCTCCTAGTCCCAGGTGCTGGCTGTCTTCTTGCTGCAGAGCCCAGCCAGCCTTCACTCTGCTATGCAAGGGGTGGGGGTAGGAATCCGCGTTTCCCACCCGAGGGCATTGACAAGGGGAGCCTCCAGCCATGTGCCTACTCTGTTCACCTTCCTCAAAGCCAGAGGCTCTGTTTTGGGTCCTGCCTTGCCTGCCAGCCAGGGCAGGGCTGGCTCTGAGCAGGCGAGACCAACTTGACTTGAAGAATGCAGCTGCAGCCTGCACAAATAGGGGACAATTAGGATCCGATTTTTTAAAAATGAAACTCCTATTTCATGTGCATATTTCACAGATACATAGGAGAGAACATTACCTTGACTTCCATAACCGTAGACAAAACAGAAAGAGGTAAAATGACCTAGAATTCTATCACCCAGAGGCAGGCAGTAGGTGTGTATACTTCTGGGATTTTCTTTGTGATGCTTTTGACTTGCTAGTAAGTTTTGTGGGTGTGTCATTTCCCCCCACATCCATCAATTGGGAGAGCTGAAAGTAGTTTGACTGCTTCTACTTGCCTTGTGTTCACTCAGGTCTCCTCCCTACAGAACCCAGCCCTTGCTGACATCTACACGGAGCATGCCCATCAGGTGGTGGTGGCCAAGTACGCGCCCAGCGGATTCTACATCGCCTCTGGAGGTACCTGTGTGCGTGTGGCTGGTGGTGGCCCTGGGGCCTGGCTGTGCTCCTGCCTTGGAAGGGGGGTGTGTGTGTGTGTGTGAAGGAATGTGGGGGTGGCAGGTGGGACCAATGTGATTAGTTTCTTGGGACTGACAAGAAAAGTATAAGCCACTGAGAAGCCCCATTCCAGTGCTTTCTAGTTTGCAGCCTGCCAGCTGGTTTCAGCCTCCGAGGTCAGCAGAAAAGAGCTTGTGAGGTTGGCCAGAGGCCTTTATAGTGGCTGTATCGTGATCACAGGAGCCCGCGCAGGTGTGTGTGTGTGTGTGTGTGTGTGTGTGTGTGTGTGTGTGTGTGTGTCTGAATTTAACTTTGTCTTGTG